GTGGGGTGGATTTTTGACAAAGCCACTGCTGAGGGCAACTGGCTGAGGAACTTGGGGAGGCAGCATAGAGCAGGCATTCCTGTCAATCATCAATTGCATGTTGCTCCTGGGGCATTCATTCCCTAGCTTGCCCTAGAGCTATTGGGCAGAAAGACTGTGTTGGTGGTTAAATAGTGGGCAGTGGGCCCTGGAATGGTGAGGGTCCAGGGAATAGGTGGAACACTGACCACTCCCATCCCTATCACATAACAAACATATTGTTGCTGTTCCGCTCCTTGGGCCTAGCAAGGCCTCAGCACAGAAAGTCTGCACTAGGTCAACCCTGAGTATTTTCAGGCTATGGGTGTACACTGTGGGGAGAGGCTGGTCTGTGCATTGGTGGAGAGGAAGGGAAGTTGGCCTGCAAAGGTGCCCCTGCACAGGAGTTTGTCCTCTTCTCTCAGACTCTGAGAATGCAAATGGTTCTCCTTCCAACCCTCCATCTCCCCTCCAGACAACTCTTGGCTATCCCCAAGCTAGCCTCAGCTTTCTCACTGCCCTCCACCCCCCCAATGTGCCAGCATGTCCCACCCTGCTCCTTGCTCCATGGCACCCCTACCAGGAATGCCGCCCCCCCTACTGCCCTCCCCCAGGCTTGTGCACTCCTAGCCCCTGGTGCCTGTCACTACTGAGCTCCCTGTCTTGCTGCAGTGTACCCTTAGGCCTGCAAAATGAAAGATTGGATTTTCAAAGGTCTCCTCCTAAGTCTGATGAAGAGCAAATGCAGTAGGAGATTCTGAAGCTGTCCCAGGACAGTGAGAAAGTTCCAAGATGGATTAGTGATATCTGCCACAGGCATGAGCTAGAGAAAGGTGTGTATAAGCCATATTCTGTTTTTCCCGGAACTAAGTGATCTTTAAGGATTCTTCCAATGGTAGGACTTGATCATGAAGTTGGAGTTTCCCATCCCTGGACATTCTAAGCAAGAGCCGAATGCCTTGGGTTGGGGCGCTGGCATGGGTTTTATCTCTGTTGTTGAGTGCTGAGATTCAAGATGTCTGTATGTCTAATCACTACATGGGATGGCAAAGGCCTTGAGGACTGAGACTGAAATATAGTGTCATACCCACATTCTGCCTTGGGGCCTGGGGGACATTTATTTTTCTTCCTACCTCAGTCTGGGAGCTCATCCCTTGAAGGCTGTGTGACCCAGGGCAAGTAATTCAACTTTTCTGAGTTTTAGTTTCCTCATCTGGAAAACGGGATAATAGTCATAATGTTGTTGTGAGGATTAAGTGAGTTAATTAGAACTCTTAGAACAGTGCCTGATGGATAATAAGCACTGGATGTACATTGATTACTATGCTTATACCTTGGAAGTTGTCCCTGCCAGAGGAGAGGCCCCTGAAGGTAGGGGATCTTAAGTCCTGTCCCTTAGGGCCCCTCCATTGGCCAGTATAGTCACTGTTTTCTTGGCATCTGAGGATGTGAGCCCAGGCCTTGTCCTGGTCTCCTCCAAATGTCATTGAAACCTGAGGTGTCCAGAGCCTTGGGGCCCCTCCCAGTGACTTTCAGAGCCCTCCCATGGGTCATGTGGTAGCTGCCTCTCTAAAATCCCAGCCCAGGCATGACCAGAGTTATGAGCAGGCTGGATGCCAGAAGCTGTGTGCACAGCTGCTGGGCTGGCAGGGACAGCTCCAGCACTTCTCTGGGACTCTGGGTCCATGTGCTCCACTGGCCTACTCTCTGCCTTCTAGGCTTGCTTCACTGCTATCTCCAGTGTGGAAGTCACCCTGTTTCTTTTGGTTCACGTATTACACCCCAGTGTCTCTCTCCCATTCCTTCTTGGCAATGCCTAGGGCCCTCACTGGCCAACCTGGGCACCTGCTGACAATGGTCCTATTATCTCTACCATCTCATCCCAGCCCACAAGTTTCTTTGTGACTTGGGAAGAGTCTCAGCCTCAGTTCTCCCATCTATAAAATGGGGAGCTGGCCTGCTTGCTTGCTAAAGCTTCTTTCATCAAAACAAATCTAATTTCATTTCTTATCTGATTTAACCACTTGCAGCCTCTGAGCAAGAGCTAAACACCTGTATATCCCTGGTTGAGAATATTGTCCCACATTTATTTCTTTTTTAAAAAAATGTATGTGTTGGTGAGAGAGAGAGAGAGAGAGAGAGAGAGAGAGAGAAAGATCAGTTGGCTGTTCCACTCATCCATGCATTCACTGGTTGATTCCTGTGTGTGTCCTGACTGACCTGAGATTGAACCTGCACTGGGACGACACTCCAGCCAGTTGAGCTGCTTGGCCAGAGCTCATCTTACATTTCTTAAATCAAGTCTTTAGAGAAGGTTGCAAGGCTTTAAGAGCCATGCAACCTTCTGGCCAAGCTGGTGTTTGTGTGTGAGGAGTGTTCTTGGGATGTTTCGTAAGTTGGTGGTGCTGGGGTTGTTACTCATGGGTTTTCTTCTAGGGCTTTCTTTGTGGTGCTTTGTTCACCAAGCCTATGAGGGACTCTCCACACCCTGAGGGTATCATACACACATTCATCCACACATGCACAAGCATGTACACAGACAGCACAATGAGGGCAAAAGCTGAGACTGGACTATACTTGGCTCCCACTCTGTCTCTGTTCTTGACTTTCTGGGTGACTTGGACAACTGACTTTGCTTTGAGTCTGTTTCCAGCTCTGAGAAAAAGGGGAGCAGGTATGAACATGACCTAGTTGATTTTTTTCTATGTGGTTCTAGGAGGAACATCAACAGGTGAGAGGGTTGCTGGGCCTGCGTGACATAGTCTGGGTGAGTCCTAGGTGCCCAGCCTTATAGAGACACCAAGAGCCACTGCAGTGGCCCCACCTACCTGGGAGCTGGCCAGATGTGAGGCTGATCAACTGCCAGGAGCTATGCATCAGAATGGGTTCTATGGCCTTTGATTCTTGCAGTTCTGTCCCATGCATGCCTTGAGCTATTTTGGAGTCCCAGCTGGAGTAACCATGACCCATTAGATGGCCCTCAAGGTCTCCAGGCCACACAAACCCGCCCCCAGCAATCTGGCAACCTCCTGCTGGCATCTGGCAACATCCTGCTGGCATCTGCTGCCAAGAGCATTTGCTGATGTGTCTTGCCTGCTCTCCCTGTGGTTGGAGGAGCTGGTTCTCTCAAGTAGTAAGCACTGCATGAGCATCTGGGGATCCAGCAGCATCTAGGAACCTAGACAGACCTAGGGAGTGATCTGCAGCCTTGCGGCTCTACCAAACACTGTCTCCCAGATGTTTGGAGCAGAGGTCAAAGGTTGTGCCCCCCTGAGGCTCTGGTTGTAACTGGTCATACAGACCAGGGACGAATCCCGGTGTTGTTACCTCCTGGCTATGTCATTCCCAGTGTCTAAGCCTCTGGTGGTTGTCCAGCCACCTGCCTCCCTGCTGCTGTCCTGAGATCTTCTCTGAGGCCTCCATGTCTTCTGGGTACTTCAGGTCTCCCAGCCTTGAATAGCTCTGACCTCGTAGTGCAACCAGGTGGGGTCTGGGGGTGCATGGGGTCCCCATTGGTGGGGAGGAGCATGCCTAACCTCATGCTCATGTCCGGGCCAGCTGGCCAGGGGTCTCCCTCTCCTTCCACCTCAGCCCTGCTAAGGCAGGGTGAGGTCCTGAGTACCCATAGCCCCAGTGCTAATGGTCAGATGGCCCCAGTGCCTACAGGGCCAGGTGGTACCATGGCACCCAGACTGCAGATGCCTCAGCCTGGTACCAACAGGCTGTCCCAGAGCCAGCAGGGCATTGGGGGAGGGGTGGCCACTGGCTTGTGTGTTCAGGGACTGGATGAGTATCTCCAGCCATGGGAGCAGTGTTTGTCCTGTGTGGGTGCGGTTCTGTGGGATGTGCCCTGAGACCACCCAGTGTGTGTGTGTGTGTGTGTGTGTGTGTGTGCATGGCAGGCTGACCAAGTGACACTTTGAGTGTTTCCCACGTGCTTTAGTTTAGAGCTGAGGAAAGTGGGTGTCAGGGAGGCACCTGGAATGAGGTCAGCCAGTCAGTGACTCCTCTGGGCACTGACTTAGGGACCCCCTCCTAGCTACTGCTCACAACAAGGAGGCAGAGGGTGTGGTGTATGGGTTTTGAGAGTGGGCACCTTGGGTGGAATATGTGAATTTCAAAAGGGTGGGGGGGTGTGGGGGGGCCCAGCTTGGTGTGTTCTTGGGAACAGGGCTCTCAATAGACCCTGGGGGGGTGAGTCAGCAGTGAGGGGAATAGCAAAGTGTCTGTGCTCAGGTGGCTGATGGTCTTGTGGAAGGACTGCAACCCTGTGCGCATCATTGTTGTTGTTATTACTACCCTTATTAGGCCAGAGGTAAGGGTTGTGGGGTTACATTAGGGACCTGCATAGGGTGTAAAATCCTCTGAGAACACAGAGAAAACTTCTGGAGATATTCTAGTGGCATTAAAGCCAAGGCCTGACAGAGGGAGGTGGTAGGGAAATGCCTGAGAGGAGAGGATCCAGGGTGGGTTTAAAGAACAGGAAGGAGGCCGTGGGCAGCAGCATGGTAAGTGAGGGGGAGGCTGGGAGGTGAGATCAGAGGGGTCCTTAGCTCTGCCCACACAGGTGCCACAGACACCTGTGGGGGCTCTGGCTTTGAGCAGATAATGGACAGGCTCCCTCTGGCTGCCACTGGACTGGGATTGGGCAGTAGCATGGCAAGGTGGTTGCCAGACTGGTCCAGGTAGGTGACAATGGGGCCGTGTGAGTGTGGAAGAAGGAGTATATCCTAAATGTATTTTGAAAGCAGAGCCCTTAGTGTGGGAGTAAGAGAAGCTGAGGATGAATTCAAGGTTTTTGGCTGAAAGTACTAGGAAGATGAAGTGGCAGGTTTCTAAGCTGGGAAGGAGGATAAGGAGCTGGTTTACAGTGTGAGGGAAGATTAAGAGGGCAGATGTGACATCTGCCAGTCACATTTGAGGGCCCTGGGTGGAGGAATTTGTGGGCTATTGCAGGACATCTGCTGTCCTATCTGTTGCAGGAGCCGTCCCACCTGGAGCCGGCCTGGGGGCGAGGAGCCAGGGCTGCCCTATCCCCGGGATGACTGCAGCCAGCCGGGCCAACCCCTACAGCATTGTGTCATCAGAGGAGGACGGGCTGCACCTGGTCACCATGTCGGGTGCCAATGGCTTTGGTAACAGCAGGGTTCACACACGGCGCAGGGGCCGAAACCGCTTTGTTAAGAAGAATGGCCAGTGCAACATTGAGTTCGCCAACATGGATGAGAAGTCACAGCGCTACTTGGCTGACATGTTCACCACTTGTGTGGACATCCGCTGGCGCTACATGCTGCTCATCTTCTCGTTGGCCTTCCTTGCCTCCTGGCTGTTGTTTGGCATCATCTTCTGGGTCATTGCTGTGGCTCATGGTGACCTTGAGCCAGCTGAGGACCGTGGTCGCACGCCCTGCGTGTTGCAGGTGCATGGCTTCATGGCAGCCTTCCTCTTCTCCATTGAAACTCAGACCACTATTGGCTATGGGCTGCGCTGTGTGACAGAGGAGTGCCCAGTGGCTGTTTTCATGGTGGTGGCGCAGTCCATCGTGGGCTGCATCATCGATTCCTTCATGATTGGCGCCATCATGGCCAAGATGGCCCGGCCCAAGAAGCGGGCACAAACACTGCTGTTCAGCCACAATGCTGTTGTGGCACTGCGTGACGGCAAGCTTTGCCTCATGTGGCGTGTGGGCAACCTGCGTAAGAGCCACATTGTGGAGGCCCATGTGAGGGCTCAGCTCATCAAGCCGAGGGTCACAGAGGAGGGCGAGTATATCCCGCTGGACCAGATTGACATTGATGTGGGCTTCGACAAGGGCCTTGATCGCATCTTCCTGGTGTCGCCCATCACCATCCTGCATGAGATTGACGAGGCCAGCCCACTATTTGGCATCAGCCGGCAGGATCTGGAGACAGATGACTTCGAGATTGTGGTCATTCTAGAGGGGATGGTAGAGGCCACGGCCATGACCACACAAGCCCGAAGCTCCTACCTGGCCAATGAGATCTTGTGGGGTCACCGCTTTGAGCCTGTCCTCTTCGAGGAGAAGAACCAGTACAAGATTGACTATGCACATTTCCACAAGACCTATGAGGTACCCTCCACTCCCCGCTGCAGCGCCAAGGACCTGGTGGAGAACAAGTTCCTGCTGCCCAGCGTCAATTCCTTTTGCTATGAGAATGAGCTGGCCTTCATGAGCCGTGATGAGGATGAAGGTGATGAAGATCAAGACAGCAGCAGCATCCCCCAAGCTAGGCACGACTTTAACAGACCCCAAATTGGTGGCAATGCCCTTGAGCAGCGGCCCTACAGGAGGGAGTCAGAAATCTGAACTGCTGTTGGCCAAGGTGCAGCATCTGCCCAGCCAGGGAGAGGCCTGCATCCCCTGAGGGCCCAGGGTTTGGGCAGAATGGGCCAGACACACTGGTTGCAGACTCAGTAGTGTTTTAGATGTTTTATGTTTCTCCACAATGGCCTTGGAAGGTTGGCGGGAGAGTGGGTGGCTAGAGCAGGTAGTCCCCAGCCTCAGATGCCCAAGCAGGTTCAGGGGCAAGGAGGTGACCTCCTGGGGGCTTGACCTTCTGCCTGAGGAAGGGGCTGCAGTCTGCCCAGAAATGGCTCTACAGCTTGCCACCCAGCCTCTGCGTGAGGCTGGAAGGCTGGAGGGTAACCTGCTGGTTTTTAATGTAGGAAGAAATGATGGACTTTGGCTTTCTCAATCTTAGCTTGGGAAAGACTGTTTACAAAAAAAATTAACATGTGATTAAATTTTTTTTTAATCCATGAGGGTACAAAAAAGGGACAATTAGAATTTTATTTGTTTGCCAGGATGCAAGCAGCTGGGTGGAGGCTCCCAACACTTCCCCAAGGCTGGATGGACCTCTGTTTCCTCTGTGAAGGCTAGGCCATGGCGGGTGGCAGGTCTATGGAAAGCACAGCAACACCATGATTTTTTATGCACAGGGGTAGATTAGATTCCATTTGTGATAGAAAAACCAAGACCATGCTCATTATCATAATACAAGCTTTCCAGTGTCATAGAGGAGGAGGAAAGGGGCAAGAAAGAAGTAGTTCAAGCTTTTTGAGTTTGACTTTGCCCATTAGAGGTGCTTCTCAGGGTTGGATAGGAGACCTGTCTGCCATGGAGGGTTTCCTCTCTCTCAGTGCACTGTATTCTCCTGGTTTACTTCTCTCTCTTTTTCTGGCCAGTGGCCTCCACACCTTCCATGGAGAGGGGTCATTGGGAAATGCAGGAGTGGATGCCTCCATGGGATGGAAGCCTGGTTCCCAGACTGAGAAGAACTGGATCGGCCCCATTTTGTAAGGGCCCACAGCATGACTTGTGCCTTAGAGACACCGAGAAGTCTGGCTCCAGTTTTTGTTTTTATAGGACTCTCCCCACTACCCTGACTCTACTGCGAAGTCCCTGCCAGCCTCTCTGTCTATAGAGGTCGGGCTGACCAGTGCTCCCTCTGAACCTGGGGCAGCATGGGCGAGCCCAGGTGAGTGGCAGCCAGGCTGTACCTGGCCTGAATGGCAGAGGAACAGTCTTAGGAAAGATGTGGAATTGTTGGTCGAGGTGACTAGGAGTAGTATGCATATCCAGGAACTCTAGTCAAAAAGAGGTTTGGGGCTGATGACTCTGCTTGCCCAGAAGCAGGCCCCTGGATGAGAACCTGCCCAATGGGGGCTTGTTTCTGGCAAAGAAGACAGCAAGTGGGGCCTGGACTCTGGGATGGAATTGGGACCCTTCCCAGGACAGCTAAGAGTGCTGTCCTCCCAAATGACTAGGCCCATGAGAAAGTTAGTACTGGCTTGCCTGCCCAGGCTGTTCTAACCAAGCCCTCAGGACAGCTCACAACCTGAGGCACCAGAGACACTGGCCCAAGTTGGGGAAACTGAGTCAGAGTGCAAGATCATGCAAACAAGGAGTAGGTCTCTAGTGACAGGGAGAGGCTAGGGCCTGGGTGGGGTCTCCTGACTCTTCCCTCCTCCTCTGACCCTTACTACAGCTGGAGACCTGACCTGAGGTCAGGGGCTGTGGAAGGCCTGGGCATGGACTATCAGCTCCACACCAGAGAAACTCCGACAGCCCCAACACTGAGGTAGGCCTGACTCCCAACACCCTGTACTAGCCTCATACCTCACCCTCACCCTGACTTCTGGCCAAGATGATTCACCCTGAGGCAGTGGAGGCAGCTCTTTCAGGATCTGCTGGAGGAGCTTATGCTCTGAGCCCAGCTGACTTACTTAGCCTTAGCCCTGGGGGTGAGGATGGAGTTGATGTTGGAGCACTTACCTACCAACCCCATCTCAGATTGTCAGGCTGAGCCAGGGTGAAACAAGGTGACCCCAGTTAGTTGGGCAGCATTAAGGGCTGGTGCTATGATCTTCTCAGCAGTCAGAGATCCTTCCAGGGCCAGGTGGACCAGCCTTCCACTCACTCCAGAGTATACTCACTCCAGAAATCACTCACTTCCACTCATCAGGAGTATAGTCAACTGGAACTTCTAGGCTCTGGTGATTTCAGGTGGCCTGATGTACCTCTTCTCAGGTCTGTCCCCTACCAGGCCCATGCCAGACAGTTCAGTCCCCAGATCCTATAGGAGAGAAGCTCCAAGCTGCCTTTTATTTCTTGCTAAAGGCAGATGCTCTGTTTTCACTTTTCTGCCCTTTCCCCCTCCTCTGTATTTATTTATTGCTTGTACTAAAGATCAAAATAGTCTCCCTTTTTAATGTACTTGAAACTGGAGGGTAGGTGGGAGGAGGGGCTGTTGTGTGTGCAGAGTGAGGATCACATGGCTCCTGGGGAGTATATGTGCCCACGTGTGGTGTGTGGAGAATGGGACTGCTCATACACATGTGCATGCATGTGGTGTGTGGTAAGTGTGTGTGCATGTGTATGTATGTTGGGTGTAGTCTGTGCTGAGCAGGTGTGTATTCCAAAGTGCTCTGGCCCTTACCCTCCCAGGCAGCAGGATTTCCAAGAATTTTCTCAATAGTCTGAACCACGAGGTTCGAGATTGGAGTGGGCTACACATATGGCCTCCCATACGCTCTGTCCTGGGGCACTGAGCTGCTTATGTGGGAAAAGGCAGAAGTGTGTGTGTGTGTGTGACTGTGAGAGTGTGAGCATAAAGCGTGTGTTCAAGTGAAACATACAGTTGTTGCTTTGTCTGTAAGTACATGAACGTGTGGATTCATTGTACATGGGACTGTTGTACAGATGTGTGCAAGCGACAATCTCTGTGTGAATCTGGGATGATTACATATCTTTGTGATATGTATGTTTGTCTGCACACACATAGTTTGCACATATTTACTCATAGGTGTGTGTATGTGTTTTCTTTCTCTTTTTTTATTGTTGTTCAAGTACAGTGGTCTCCATTTCCTTGCTGTGTGTGTGTGTGTGTGTGTGTTTTATATGTGGGCATTGGTTTAAATGTTCACCAGGAAGTCAGGCTACGCACACACAACTTGGGATGGATGCTGGCCATGGGTATCAGTGTGGCAGACCTTGGCAGTCCCACTGGCCCTCTGCTCTGGTCGTGTCCACAGGGAGTGTGTGGGGTGTGTGTGCCTGGGCATGAGGTGACATCGGCACATGTATGTGAGTCTTTGGCACCTATCAGTGAGCAGTTGTATATAGGAGGCATGTGTGTGTCTGTCCATATGAATGTGTATGTGCATGTGGCACATCTGTGTGGCATCTGTGCCAGGCTGTGAACAGGACAGTGTGTATGTATGTGAGTGTATGCCGGTTCTGGGAGCTGTGTGTGTGAATGTCAGGGTCATGTGTCCATGTGTGTGCCCTTGCATTGCTGTGCCTCCCAGTCCCTGCCTGCTTGAGGGTCCCCGTGGAGGTTGGGAGACTTGGTGGAAAGGAGTCCCCTGCACAGAATGTCAAATATATTTTAAATGGTGAATTTTCATGTTATTTTCAGTACAGAGTAGTATCTGAAGACATAGGCCATGAAACTAGACTACATTAAATGCATTTTGATCTCCTTGAGTGCCACCATGTGGAGATGTGTGTTTCAAAGTCCTTGCCTGGCTCCAATACACACTGGTGGTTCTTGTGTTTCCTCAGCCCTTGTGTTCTGCAGCGATGGGGCTCCCCAGGGGCCTTCAAGGCTTGAGGTCAGGGGAATATGGAAGCAGCTTGGAGACAGAGGACAGAACACAGCCTACACACAGACCCTGGCGTGCTCTTCCACTCAGCACGCATACCCTCACTCCCCGGTGACCAAACACCTTTTCCCCTTGGGCTTAGACTGCACATTCACACCTCCCAGCTATGTGACCTTGCCCACTGACCTGTCTTTTCTGGGTCTGTGTCTCCCACCTATCATTCCTTCTGCAAGGACGTGATGAGCACTTCTATGTACTGGAGACCAGAGGCTCACTCTGGGACCCACAGGACTGGGGAAGGTCCCTTCAAGACTGCAGCCCTGGTGCTCACTTCTGTGACAGGAGAAGTTGAGCCAGGCAGGGGGCTAGGAGACCCTACATCAGCCTGGCAGAGGATGCAGGGCAAGTAGGCACTGCTGGCAGGAGGACCAATCCAGGCAGGGAGGAAGACATCTGTGCAAGGTCTATTTTTGGGGAGAAAGAAAATTTCTTCTGAACCAAGGGCTCAGTCTCTAGCATTCCAGTGGCCTTCTGGCAGAGGCCCACAGGGAGAGAATTCTTTCCTTTATCCAAACTATTTTCACTACTGGAGAGATGTGTATCAGTGAAGGACCTGAGGATTGTTCCCTTGCATTGTACCTGGGGTCCCTACCTCAGGACCCAGATGGGACTACATTGAGTCTGCTTTGGCAGGCAGAGAGTTTGGACAAAAAGAGCAAATAATGAACTAGTGCCTAGTTTCCTCCTTCCTGACTCTGTCAGCTGCAGCCCTTCCCTGAGCCTCAGTTTCTCCACATGTGATCTGACATGAGGATAATGCTCTCTGAGGACTCGGAATGCTATACTAGGCTGTCCCGGCCCAGGTGTTTAGAGAGCCCTTCCTTCCCTGGGTCAATGCCAAGGTCATTGCTGAAGCCCAGGACTGCACTTCCTCCTTGTTAAGGCTTGGTACAGAGGCTGAGCTAGAGCTCAGAAACCATAGCCTTAGGCCAGGGAAGGGCCCCAGGTCAGGCTCTGGAACAATTCACTGGTACAGGTTGTACACTGTACACCCCAGGGATGCCATATACAACCTATACAATCAGGCACAGCAATGGTAACCTCTGAGACTTCTTGCCTTTTTCCCTCACTTCCTTGGGGCTCCAGAGAGGAGTTGCTCATGGGCTCTCTGAGAAGGGATCCACAGCATGCCTGGAATATGCAGTATGAGATTACAGGGATAGGAGGCACAGATAGGAGGCACTTCTGCAGACACTTTTTCATGAAACCACTGACTGGCTAGAAAAATGAAAGGGTGACTCAGCCTCATACCAACATACATACAGCCATGCACACAAGCAATGTACACACACCAGAAATGCACACAGACACATATAACTCTGTGGAATATTATGCAGCCAGAAAAAGAATGTTTCCCTGATGCATGCAACAATGTGGATGAATCTCACAGACATTATGTTGAATGAAAGGATCCAGAAACAAGGGGATGCATGGTGTTCAAGTCTATTCATATGAAGTCCTGGAACAGACAGTCTATGGTGACAGAAATCAGGA